TTTTTACGACCGTGCCTCACATGTAGGTGATGGTTAAAGACTACCAGGGGTCCGCGCTGTGAAAAAAATGTTCAAGAGATGTCAACGGTAGGATTGGCCGCATGCTCGACGGAACGCCGTGACAAGCAGCGGCTGGAAATTCCATCGCTCCTTTCGCCCGCGCCGCGCCTGCTCAGCCCGTGCCTGCCAATGTTTTTTCTGCCACGGCCTGTCTTCACCCTGCCCCTCGGTAGATCTCGGAGCCTAGACTCAAGGGAGGAAAAAACACCCGGACCGGACAATTGGCCTTTACTAAACGGCCTTGTGCGTTTACTGAACAGCCCTGCCCTGTTTGATTCCTTCCGTGGGTGCGTTTACTAAACGGTTTCGCGTGTCGTGGTGGTGATTATCAGGGTGGATTTTCTGCCCCCTACAGAACCCCCAAGCCTGCCAAGTCGATGAAGTGAAGTACCCACTTTCGACTCTCGAGAGGGCGTTGCGGCCACAACGCTGGCGGGCCTGCACACGCCGGGTCTGGTCCCGGGCCGTCGTCACGAAGTGGCGTTCTGCCAAAGTCGGGGACGGCCAAGAGGGGGGTGATAACTGGGGGGGGGGGGGGGTTACCGCGGGGGCCATGGTATCTCCCCAGATTTCATGGCGCGTTTGCTTATCTCAAGGCGTCCCTGGCCCCCCCCGTCCCTGGGCCGCGCACATGCCGCCGGCCATGATTTGCGGCCCCCCCCCCCTCTTGGACGCCCCCTCTTGGCCGCCCCCGATAAAACGGGGTTGTGCCCACTTTCTATAGGCAGAAACGAGAGGGCTGTGACTGCCAGGGGACAGCGTGCGGCAGGCGGTGGGGAAATTGACCAGAAATTCTTCACGCCTCGCGTATCCCCACCAGCCCATCTCAAAGCAGCAACTCTTGCGAAGCATGCCGACAGTCGTGTTTTTCAGGCGTGTTTCCGCCTGCCCCCGCATATCTCCCCTGTTCCTCCTTCCTCCCGCCTCCTTGTACATCCTCCTTGTGGTGGGAGCGGGAGAAGGACGAGGCGGAGGAGGAGGGAGAGAAAGCGCTCCTCGTGGTTTGAGTCGTTTGGGGTTTCTCGTCCTGGTGTGAGTCGTTCGGGCCCTTCTTCCTGGTGTGAGTCGTTCGGGCTCTTCGTGGTGTGAGTCGTTCGGGCTCTTCGTCCTGGTGTGAGTCGTTCGGGCTTCTCGTGGTGTGAGTTGTTCGGGCCCCTCGTCCTGGTGTGAGTCGTTCGGGCCCCTCCTCCTGGTGTGACTCGTTCGGGCTCCTCGTGGTGTGAGTCGTTCGGGGCCCTCGTCGTGGTGTGAGTCGTTCGGGCTCCTCGTGGTGTGAGTCGTTCGGGCGCCTCGTCCTGGTGTGAGTCGTTCGGGCCCCTCCTTCTGGTGTGAGTCGTTCGGGCTCTTCGTGGTGTGAGTCGTTCGGGCCCCTCGTCCTGGTGTGAGTCGTTCGGGCTCCTCGTGGCGTGAGGCGTTCGGGCACCTCGTACCCCTTTTGGGGCGTCTTGGGGGCCTCTTGGCGGCCCCAGGGGCTTCTAGGAGCGTCTTGGGTGCCTTGGGGGAGCCTCTTCGGGCCTCTTGGGAGCCTCTTGGAGGCCGTTTGGGGCGTCTTGGGGGCCTCTTGGCGGCCCCAGGGGCTTCCAGGAGCGTCTTGGGTGCCTCGGGGGAGCCTCTTGGGGCCTCTTGGGGGCCTCCTGGGGGCCTCTTGGGGCCATCTTGGGGCCTCTTGGTGCCTCCTGGGCGCTTCTCGATCAAAGAAGAGGGAAGCTTCAATTAGCACTGGCCCCTCAGAAGGCCAAAATGGGGCCAAAACCTTCGTAAAATTTATGATTTTGCCTTGAAAGAAGAGGGGAGCTTTAATGAGCGCTGCCCCCTCAGAAGGCCAAAATGGGGCCAAAACCGTAGTAAAATCAATGATGTTTGGCTTCAAAGAAGGGGCGAGCATTTTTTCTGACTCCCCCCGTCGGGGCCAGAATCCTCGTGAGGGGTGTCGTTGTTTAGCCCTCCCAAGAGTCGAAACTGACCCCCCTGACGACCCGCGGAGGGACCTCTCCAGGCCCAGGGGGAGGGGGTAGGGGGAGGGGGAAACCCCTCCCCGAAGGGGAAGGAGGGTTGAGAACAGAGCGGGCTCTCTAAACCACTCCCGCCCAAAGGGCTGGTGGGATTCTTGACGCTTTCCTCTTCCCTTGCTTGGTCTTGTCTCGTTTCGCCTTCCTGTTCCCGTGCGCTAAATTAGGCCGTCGCCTCTGTGCTTCGCCCCTTGACGCCGCCCGATTGCCTCGCCGCGATCGCGATCAAAAAAATATCCCCACCAGCGCCTAGTGATGCCTTCGCGCCATTTTGGCCGCGCTGAGCTCCGTCCCGCGCCCGGCGTTGCTCGCTACTCTGTTTTTCCTTTAGCTGGTGGCGCAGCCTGCCCCTGCTTGCCCGGCGTTCGACCCGCTTCGCGCGCCTACGTACCAAAAAAGTATCCCCATCAGCCCATCCAGAACCGAGAAAT